TCCGTCTCCCTCGTCCACTCGTCGCCCTTCGCCCACTCTCCGACGCTCTCGTCGTCCGACCGCTCGGCGACAGACCGACGACCGTCGCTGTCCGACTCGGCCATGGGGCGCTGCGTCTCGGCCGTGGTGCGCCGCGTCCTCAGCTGGCTTGGAATGCCTGAGCCTAAATTGGCCACGGTTGTTTGTTGTTCGTGTTGTTTGTATTGTTGCTGTTCTTGCTTGTCTTTCTGCTTGCGTTATTATTGTTTGTCTTGCTGCTGTTAGCGAGCGTGCGGGTGTGCAGCTGTTGTTTGTTATCCCTGCTGTTTGTCTTGGTGCTGTTCTGCCCTACTGTTGCTGCGGTTTTGCTGTTTGCTGTTGCTGTCGTGGCTGCTGTTGTTTGTGTTTGTGCTCTTGTGTGTGAGTGTGTGGGAGTGTGTGAGAGTGTGTGTGTGTGGGTGTGTGTGTGTGTGTGGGAGTGTGTGTGTGTGTGTCAGTGTGCGAGTGTGCTGGTGTGCGAGTGTGTGTGTATGAGTGCGTGCGTGCGTGCGTGCGTGCGCGTGTTTGTGTGTGTGTGTGTGTGCGTTGGTGCGTTTGCGTGTGCGCGCGCGTGCGTGCGCGCGTTTGTGCGCGCGCGTGGCCGCCAGGTGTCGAGGCTCAACCCTCGACTCTCGGATCGACGACCCGAGATCCGGGAGTCTAAGCTTGGCGATCCTCGGGTCTGCAATCCGAGGTGCTCGCAGATGCGCGAAACCAAGATCTCGGATCCACGATCCGAGGATGGGGGGCCGAGCCTGCTCGGTGGCAATGCGGGCCCGATGACGACCAGAGAAGCACCTGGCTCGGTCCTCGAGCCTTGGATGTCGAACCCGAGATCTTCCAGTCCAAGCTTGGCGACCATTTGATCTAGGATCCGAGGTGCTCGCAGATGCTCAAGACCAAGATCTCGGATCCTCGATCTGAGAATGGAGGGGCGAGCCAGCTCGGTGGCAGCGTGGACCCGAGGACGACCAGAGAAGCAATGGGCTCGGCCCTCGAGCCTCGGACGTCGACAACGAGATCTTCCAGTCCAAGCTTGGCGACCATCGGATCTGGGATCCGAGGTGCTCGCAGATGCTCGAGACAAAGATCCCGGACCCTCGATCCGAGGATGGAGGATCGAGCCTGCTCGGTGGCAGCGCGGCCTCGAGGGCGGCGAGAGGGGCGATCTACTAACGCCGAGGCTCGGTTCTCGAGCCTCTGATGTCGAACCCGAGATCTGCCAGTCCAAGCTTGGCGACCCGATCTCGGGCCCTCGATCCGAGGATGGAGGATCGAGCCTGCTCGGTGGCAGCGCGGGCTCGAGGACGGCGGCGAGGGCGATCTGTTATCGCCCATGCTCGGCCCTCGAGCCTCGGGCGTCGAACCCGAGATCTTCGAGCCCAAGTTTGGCGACCCTCGGATCTAAGTCCCAACGCTCCAAGGTGCTCGAATATGCTCGGGCTCAAGATCTCGGGCCCTCGATCCGAGGGTGGAGGATCGAGCGTGCTCGATGGCATTGTGACGATCGAGGGTCGCCGAGGCTCGATCCTCGATCCTCGGATCGCGAACCCGAGATCTTCGAGCCCAAGCCTGGCGACCCTCGGATCTAGGACCCAAGGTGCCCGAAAATGCTCGGGCTCAAGATCTCGGATCATCGATCCGAGGACGCAGGATCGAGCCCGCTTGATTCTAAGATGATTGATCGAGGATCACTCGGCGAGAGGGGGGGGGGTAGCGCCCCGCAGCTTGGAACGCCGCTCGCGCGTGCTCGTGCGCTCTCTTGGAGCTTGAAAAGCAGATGGGGCTCGAGCGCGCACCCCGAAACGGCACCCTCGTAGGGGAAAAAACCATGGTGCGCTTGGCTCGGGGAGCTCGTGCGCTCAGGCGCCCGCGAGCATGAACGAGGCGGGCTCTGACTCGGCCCTCGCGTCGGCCTGGCTCCTCTCGTCATCGCGCTTGTTCATGTTGAGTTTGCCGTGCTCTTCCTGGATCGACGCGTACTTGTCGAAGTGCGGCTTGATGTGGTTCTCGAGAAGCACCTCCTCGTGCTTCTGCTGCTCGACGGTTTTCGAGTAGTCCCGCTTGGCGCGCTTGTCTTGGTAGCTGTGCTCGTGCAGCTCGTAGCTCATGTCCGCGGTCTTCTTGATGGACCAGCGCCACTTGATGATGGTTAGGGTCGTAGCCTTGGCGACCCCGTCGGTCGCCATCGAGACCGTGGAGGTCTCGTTGCACCACCTGGCGTGCTCTCGGGCCCTGCGCGGAATCACGTTGAAAGCGTATCGGCACTCCCGGCGGGCCTCTCGCGCAAGTGCTCGACGGGCTCGAACTTCTCGTTGACCAGCAGCACTAGCTCGTGGAGGTGGAGGAGCTCGGCGGGGATGCTTGGGAGGGCTAACCCGATGCGCTCGGTGTAGGAGCCGTGGGTCAGCTTCTCGACCTTCTCGGCGCCGAGCTCCATGTCTTTCTTCTTGGCGAGCTCCTGCAGCTTGGCCTTGAAGGTCGGCATGAACCAGAAGAGGTCATCGGGGGGCTCTCCGTGGTTCTCGAAGATGTCGCGCGCGTGCTCGTTCTTCTCGACGTAGGTCTTGAATAACACCGCCACGGACAGCTCGATACGCCTCTTGTCCTTCTCGTTGAGAATGTGGCCGTGCTCGATGCTCTTGTGGCGCCCGCCTTTGTAGACCATCTCCAGCACGGCTTGCTGGGCGCTCGACGACCACAAGGCGCTCTCGGCCTTGAAGTAGCAGCTCGTGTCATCCTCGGTGCATCCGTGCTTTGCGCGCTCGACTGGCACTGGCGCATCTCGGCGATGCTGACATTCTCGGCGATGTAGTTCAATTTCTCGATGATCTTCTCGTTCTGCTTGGCCATGCGCTCGAGAATCTCGTTCGAGCTCGGGCTCGGCGCCGCCGCGTGCTTCAGAGCCTCGACGGGCAGGCTCGCGGCAGCTGCGCGCTCGGCGGGCTGGGCCATCGCTGGGGCTCGCGACGCAGTCAGGGGCAACGATGTGAAGGGATACGCATTGGGGGGGACATCGACCTGGAATCGGCTATACATCGCCGATGCATCGGCGATGCGCGCCCGATGCATCGGCGATGTATCGCAGATTCCAAGTCGATGCCCCCCCCCCAGAATGCCTATGCATCGGCGAAACATCGCCGATGCATAGGCATGCCTATCCTCCCCTATCGTTGCCCCTGGGGCGACGAGGCCCGGCGCCTAGAAGAGGCTCGAAATCTTGGAGTCTCGGAGACTCGGGGAAGCTTGGGCTTGGGCAGCTGCGGGGGCAGAGGGGGAGGAGGAGGGGGAGGAAGAGGAGGAGGAGGAGGAAGGGCCAGGAACCGTGTGAGGGGTGCGCAAAAAATCACTTAATTAACTAACTCCAATGCTCTGCCTGCTCGAAAAACGCATGCGCAATCAAAATCCAATCGGTCCCTATGGCCCTGCCACACGTTCCTGACTCGGGAGCGGCTAAGAAAATGAGAACATCATGGCCCTGCCGCACGGTCGTAACGTGGGCAAACTGAACTGGTGAGAATCCCACAGCCCTGCCACACGGTCGTGATTGCGGAAGCTGGTGTGGCGAGACCATCATGGCCATGCAAAGCGTTTTTGCTGTTGTTGCTAATCAACATGATCTGACAGAAATGTCGATCCCCGCAATTTTCACCGTGGATTATCAAGTTCGGCCCCCGCGCCTTCCCCACATATGGATCCCTGTGGTCGGGGATTTAAACAATAGAGGGGGGAAGGGGGGGGGTACTTTACTATCGCCCGTTCGGGGTTATTTTGTTGACCCGTGTTAAAGACTTCGTTTGACATGGAAGAAATACCCGCGACCCTCCCGCCGCGCCCTTTCAGGTTTTCGCCTGTTTGAGAATCCGGCTGCCATCGGCAAAGGACCCGCGCCCTCTCGGATACCCTCGGCAGTCCGTCCTGGCTGTGCTCACTCTCTCCCCCTCTCCCCGTCCTGCTGTTCCGCCTCCAGGGCTCATTTCGATCCGATCCGATCCGATCCGACGTCTGTCTCGGCCGGCCCGTCCGACTCGGCTCCGATGTTCCGATGACCCGATGCGTCCCGATGCTTGCGTGGCGCTGGTGTGCATCCAGGCGCATGCGATCCAAGTCGATTTCGACTCTACTCCGTGCCGATGCAGCCCGATCCGATGCACATTCCGATTCCGATTCGATCCAGTTTCCCGAATCGTTGTCGACCGACGCTGGCCTCCCTGGCGAGCGAACGCGCGCGCGCTTCTGGCCCAGTGATTGCCGGCGCGCACCATTCCATCCACCCTTCGCGTGGCCCCCCTCAAGGGCAACGCTTGAGCGGGATAGGGTCGCGGGGGTATGCATCGGCCCCCAATCGCCCACTGATCGTCGACAGGGGCCCGAAATCCCCCCCCAATGAACGGTTGGTTCCTCCATCGGGGGGTTGTGGCCGATCCATCGGTGCTGTATCACTGATTCACGGTCGATGTCCCCCCTGAGCCAGTCCCCCCCAGCGTTGCCCTTTACGGTCAACCCGCATAGCAAGGACGGGCAACCTTCCCAAGGGTGCCCTTGCATCCTTGCCTCTTCGGTGCATCCTCGGCCACTTTCGTTGGTGGCGCCCCGCTCGAAAACTTCGAAATCTGCTTCCAAGGGCCTTGCATCCTTCTCGCGCAGCCTCCTCCTGTACTCAGGAGAGAAAGACACACGCAGACACGATTAATCGTCGGCTCGCCAGAAAATGCGGGAACATATGGGAAGTGGGGGGGAAGACAAAACCCAGAACATGTGGGGCGAAATGGGAGATCCTGTTATTTCTGTGAATTTATTTGTGTGTCCTCTTTTCTCGTGGGCTTCGCGGAATCGCCTGTATACTGTGGCTCCCTTAGCTTGGAACCTGTGCATGGCTGTTACCGGTCCTCCAGACTGGAGCCCAAACGGCTACAGAGAGGAATACGATATAATGATTATCCCTCCTACCTACCCCTAGCGCCTCCTACGGGGAGAAATGGGAGATCCTCTTATTCGTGTGAGTTTATTGGTGTGTCCCAGGGCCCCTTCCTGTACGGGCTGACTGCGCCGTCGCCCCCCTTTCTGGAGGTGGTGCGCACGCGCTGCCATGGCCGAGCTGGCGTGGCTCTCGGACTACGTGGTCACGTTCATGAAGGCCCCGCGGGCGCCACGACCCTCTTCCACTCCTCCCCCTCCCTCTCGTCTCCTGCTCCTGCTCCTCCTCCTTCCTCCTCCTCGTTCTCGTCCTCCTCTTCCTCCTCCTCCTCCTCTTCCTCATCCTCCTCCTCCCCCTTCCCGCTTCTGGGAGATGGCGGCCGCGCCCGCTTCCGCGCTGGCTGACCTGTGGTCTTCGTCGTCGTCTTTCTTGCTCGCCCTTCCACGCTCGCTCGCTTGCGGTCTTCGTCGTCGTCTTTCTTGCTCGTCTTTCCGTTTCCGCCCCCTCCTCATCCTCTTCCTCTTATTTCTATCTCTCTCCTCTGAGGCCCTACCAGCCCACGACCAGTCGGACTTCCCCCACGCCGACCAGGATCATTGCAACCCAGTGCATGCGTATTAGTGTAAGCTGACGAGACATCCAGGTCGCCTTGTGTACCCGCGCATCCTCCAGGTGCCCGTTCGCTGGTATTGGGCCCGCACACGCGGAGAAGACTCGGGTGTCATAAGCTTCCACCAACAAAATTGCGGGATGGGTGACGTCAGTCTCATTATCCATCCCAGCAGCGGCGTCCACCAAGGCGCTACCGCGCTGGCCCAGGAACGCGGCATAAGGGTGTCCTGGAAAAGGCGGGGCTCGATCTAAACAGTGTTTTAGCGATCTCGTGGACCGTTTCCGTTTTGATTTCGTTTTGCAGAAAAGGCGCAACGATTACAACACGGACACCAAACGAAAACGGAACACACCGTTTGGGTCGAGCCATGAGAAAAGGCAGACGGTCCACGCTCCCGCTACCTGGCCTAAAGAGAGCGACCTCCGCGGCCCAGCGTCGGCTACACTATTTTCGCAGCACTGACTCGCTCTTCGTCCCAGGCCGCCGACGGTCTCCCAGGCCGCTTTTCGCCTGCGGGACCGTGGTTTTCAACACCCACTGGAGAACCCAGAGGATGACCCGGATCTCCTGAGCTGCCCCCCCCGGCTCTGCTGACCGCGCCAGGCACCACGCGTAGCAAGACGACCACCAAGATGGCGGCGCCAGCGGCCCGCGCGGCCACAGCCCACGCGACGGCCTCCGCGCCTGGGGCCCTGACCGCGAGGTGAACGCGCACGGCATGCCTCCACGGAGCCATCTGCAGGCCATCGTGCCGAGCAGCGGCAGCTCAGCCGACCCCTCGTTGCGGTCGGCCTCGCAACCACGTTCGCCAACCCGCGGCCCCGCCGACGAGCGAGCCAGTGCTCACCAGGATCCCAGTCGGGACCGCGCCGCCAGGCGCCGAGCCACAACGGCAGAAGCATGAGGAGGGCGACGGCGAGGAGAATGAGGACTTCAGGAGGAGGAGGAGGAGGAGGAGGAGGAGGAGGAGGAACGCGCAGGAACGCGCAGGCCCACTGTCCGCGGTTTGCTCGGCTTGCTGGGCTTCGAGGCGGTTTCTTCGTTCGCTCGGGTCGCCAGCTTCGGCTCGTTCGCTACCCTGCCTTGCGGCCTTGGCTCGGGTTTCGGTTCTGTTCCGCTTGCTGGCGTCTCGGCTTGTTCCTGCCGCCTGCTTGGCCCGCGCCCGCGCGCGCCGGCCATCGCCGCGGCGCGTCCTTTGTCTGCTGGCTCCCTCCCCCCCATCCTCCACTGTAGGTGCCGATTTTCTTCGTTTGTTTTACCAGGCCCGCTGGTCAGGAATTGCTTCACGGCCCACGTGCTAGCCATGCGTGGCGCTTGCAGGCCCTCCCTCTCGGAGGATGCCGAGTCTCCACGGGGCGAGTCCATACTCAGGCGATCGAATGCATGGATCAAGGGGGCGTGGATTAGCGACGGGTCCCGTTTCCACGGGCAATCGCAGATTTCCGCCGCCGAGCGAGGCGGCACCGGCCGCTTTTTGGGGAGGCACCTCCCCCGATCCATGGATTTGGCGACCGCGCGCCAAATCCATAGATCGCTAATCCATGTTTGCGCGCCCCCGACATACGGAGTGCTCGGTCTCCGTATGGATGTTACTCCGTCCCTCCTGGGCCGTACCTTTTTTGGCTCAAGCCTGTTTGTTCTCAAGGCGGCACGCATTTCAGCCGCTTCTTGATGCGTCCAACATTTGTGTGGCTGGTTAATTCTGGCTCGCGACATTTGTCGTGGGAAGCTCGGTGAGAATGGACGCCAAGCGAACTTGGCCACTATTAGTTGTATACGTTTTCATATGGTATGCATAAAATGTGAGGTACAATATCGTAAACAAAATGCTGTTGAAATCGTCGCATGCGACCGTGATCATTGCTTGGGCCCAGTTAGCCTCGGGCATGTAGTCCTGCGCGCCAGAGGCGCTGGACCCTGCAGCATCGCCAGGAGCGGGGCACGGCGGCGGCGGCGGGTGCCGCAGCATGCGTGGCTCCATGGCATCATCAGAGTACTGGGAGTGTGTATCAGGTTCGATCGGATCGGCTCTCATCCCTGAATCAACCCCCCTCTGGTCAGTGGAACCCAAGGCGGGTTCAACATAAGCAAGCGCGGCAAGATTGCGCTGCGTGACTTTCTCACGGGTGCCATCCCCCCTGGGGAGGGCAATCGTGACAAGTCCGCGTGCCTGCCGCGTGCTTCTGTCGAGTCTGCCTGCGTTCAACCACCACTTCCTCCGACCAGCCTGGCCAGTCCTGATGCTGGTCTCGAGGATTTCACAGGCGTCGCGCATATCCTCAATGGTATAGGCGTTCTTGCCTTTATTGACACGAGCGCCTGTCATTTGGTGGTGGAACTTCAAATCATTGAGAAAGCGCTGAATGAGATTGGCAAATGGATGGTATAGAGGTCTGTCGTCTTCACGCTCGCCCATCAATCTGCACATGTGTACAGGAGGGGAGCCAGAGGCGACCCACTTCTCATACCTCTTCCTAGCGGAATTGGCCATTCTCCTCAGCACGTCTTTCTCATTGCCTGGAACAGAGCGCTTGCCCGTCATGATGACCTGCGCTCCGTCTCTCATGTACCTCGTAATGTCGTCCTGGGAGAGCGTCGTCTTGATCCAGTGGGTCAGCTTCTGGAGGTATGCCAGGTCGCTCTCGACAGCGGTACTTTTACCCGTAGCACCTACGGCAACGGTGTACTGCCAGCAGATGACACAAAGGGTACCTTCATCTGTAACGACCCCTAAGGATAAAATGCGATCGCAATTCCGACATCGCGCGATATCATGTTGAATATCTTCTGGGGCTCCGTCAATCGTGAGGTGCTCACGAGATCCCCAGCGAGTTTCCCGACCACGAGCAAGACTGCGGCCGATCTGATCCATGGCATCGCGGTTGATTTCGGCGTTCGGTCGGGAAGCGATCGATCTGCTCATTCCCCCGATCTCGATCCTAGACAATCTTTCCCCTGGCAGTCCTATGCGCTCGGTCGTGTCGTTATCCGCGTCATCAGTATCACCATGGCATACGTTTTCTGTACGGATACGGCTAGCCTCTTCCTGCAAGGCGGACTCGTTGTCACCCTCCTCGCGGTTGATTCCCTTCTGTTCGGCTATGATCCGTACCATGGTTTCCTGATCTGGAGCTGCGGATGCAATGCTGCCTGGATCCTGGGGAATGTCCTGCTCCGCGCCTGGGCCACGTGGCGCGGCAGGTGTTTCCACCAGCTCCGACCATGCGGGGAAGCCTGGATTGCCGAATGTCTGGATGCAACGTGTAAATAGATCACGCAATGTCTGGAGTGCAGGATGGTTCTGATGAGTAGCATCTTTTGTGAAATTACGGAGCTCCCCAATACTGTCCAGCAATATGATTTGATACACTTTAGAGATCCATTGGAAGACGCCTGTAGTCGACTCCTCGACGACCTCTGGGTCCAGGTAGTGTACCAACTTTTTGAAGAAGCTATCTGCACTGCAAATTGGTAAGTCGCGTGCCCATTTGTGGGTATGATTGTAATCCAAATAGTATGTCTCCGCGTTCCATGTTTTGGATCCGAATTGAATTTCAAATCGTAAGTACGACTGTGCTTTATCTACCACAAATCTGTCCACGCCAGTGAGCACCTCAATGATTTGTTTCACCTTTATCATAGGTGAGTCCACCAATAGCTCCGACGCCCAGCGGTATATGCGGTGGTCGTATGATTGTTAGGTCCACTTTGAGTCCTCCTCTGGGTCGTAGTCGGGGTGGTTGAGGAAGTCTTCTGGCGGGTCAATAATATTGTCGAGGATGCTCGCGTCGACTTGCTCATCTGCTTTGATCTCTGCTGATAGATCTGCTCTCATATTGTCATTTGCCGCTTTCTCCTCGGCAGCGAGTGGTATGTTTGATATATCCACAATGACGGTAACTAGAGGTTCAGCAGATTGGCCTGCCTTTTGTTGGGGTCCATCGTCCGCGGGAGCAGTATCCTCGGCAGGTGTGGCCACCAGCTCTTCGGGATCGGGTGTTCGAGGAGCGGGCCGTCTGGTCGGTGCACGTGGGATGCGTGGCTTATAAATGCTCGGCATTCCGAGATATGGTAGATTACCATCTGTTTTATGCTGATGTATTTTGTCACGGCATGAGGATGGCCCTTCCAGCGCAGTATTCATATCTCTCGGGTCAATGTCGGCACGAACTGGTAAAGCAAAGACAACGCCCTTGAGAGGCATGCTTTTGTCGTTGTACCATATGTTTACCCAACGTAAACCGTAGTTGAGGATAGGTATTTGTACCGCAAAGAACTTGCCAAAGACTCCGAAATGAATGATTGGGCCGTATGTGTGGCCCCCGTTCATGAGGACCTGGGTGTTGTGATTGCCCTTGGGGTAGTGATTGTCATAATGATAACAATTGGTAGATCCCCAATTCTTAGTGACGATGAAGTCCCCCATGCGAACATCATTAAATATAGTCCGACGACTCCGATCTTTCTGTGTAATCTTTGATGTGATGGGTCGAAGGGCCTCTCGGCAGTATGACATAGCGATTAACCATTCTTTATCTTCTGTTTTGTGCTCGCATTCGGCGATCATAGCGCGGGCCATTTGTTCCTCCAAGGCGTCGGCGCCAGA